ATGCTGTACAGTATTTCTTTTTCAATTTTTTAAATTGTACCACTGACAAAACGAAGAGTAGTGGCCGAATACATTATTCACTTACTTACTAGTGATGCCATTTATTTAATGTGATCTATGTTGTTTCTGTTTTCTTGCGGTTATATACTATACCTAACTATAGAATCATTGAACAAAGCTACATAGGCCTATTGTCTTTTAAACATTTTAGTAACCCCTACACCGACGATTCGACAGTGTAGACACCTGTGTTGTTGAGATTATTTTCTATAGGCCTATAATTACCTAACTATAAAATTACTGAACAACAAAGCTGCATAGGCCTACTGGTCTTTTAAACGTCTTACTTACCCCTCTGAAGATAAAAGAAGTATTATGACACCGACGATTCGACAGTGTAGGCACTGAAACGCCGGAGCACGTTTTAGTATTTCGTGGTCTAGATATGGGACACAAATTTGCAACACTTTCTTCCGGGGTAAACAATTATGAAATATGTTTATGTATTCATTACAAAAATAAAGTAACTAAAGTTTACACAATCGACCTTATGTTCAACTTAACTTCACAGATTAATCTAGCATAAACAATCAGTAAAAAGTATGTAAAAGCTAATTTACGTTAAAAACACTGAGCATGAGATTGGTGTTCATATTACATAATAAAAAGCAGTATAAGAAGAAAAGTGTATTGACATTTACTGGCAGTTCGTTGGTGGAGATATTCGGAGCCTTGGATTAGAGTTCCTGTATTGGATTGTATTGGGAAACCTTGTCTCGACGAACAACAGTTTTCGCCTACATGTTCTGTAAAGCTATTCATTGGTTTGACCTTGAATTTACTTGTAGTGTATGTGTAAACACACAGCTTCTTTTTTCATATTTTGTCTCAGTAGAAATAAGGAGCAGGAGGGCATGTCTGCACGACTGTTGACACGACGACTTTCCCCTTTTTTTTGAACCATTATTTACTGACTTGTTTATTGAACATATTTACAGTACAGGGTACTGTAACCACCTGTCTTGTTTTGTGAAAAAAGCTTAATCTCAAGCACAGAATACATGTAGTATAATAACTGTCTCTTATACACATCTAGATGTGTATAAGAGACAGGGGTTAGTGTTAATAATTTCTTGATCCTTTAGGTGATTTATTCAAAATTTTTAATAGGAATTTTCAAGGTTTATCCAGATTTTGTTGGCAGTGACTTATTAAACGTCTGTCTCTTATACACATCTAGATGTGTATAAGAGACAGATATGACGGCATCTCAGAAAAAAAAAAGAAGACAATCATAAAGATTTAAGTCTGTCTTTTATAACCCGGGTAAACTTCTCAAGCTGGTGGCCAATTCCACTTTGTTGAGACCAGCGGTAAATTGTGGAAGTAGGCCTATAATTTTTTTTAAAATTCAATTCACACCCAGTCTCTGTTATAGGTTATAGATTAATTGGTCTATTATTAACATTGGACTATGACTCGGCCTTGTTTTGTAATGCCGTAATGAGGGAATGTAGTAGCATGGAGAAGGGTGCCGGGTAAATAATAATAATATAAAAAAAACTTGCAGGTTCTCCTACGACCCACTAGGAATTTTTAGAGCACAAAAAATCGACTCATGTACTAAGTAGTTAAAAACAATGCCAGAGACAGAAATTGCCCGATGAGGAGCTTGAAAAACCGCCCACATTTACCTAAAAAAAGTTAAAATTAGACACCTTCTGATTCCTGGAAATGCCACTTTCCGTCTGTAAAAATACGTTTTGAAAGCACAGTTTCAACAGAATCAACAGACAGACCTTGCTCCCCGGATCCGCCGCTGAGCGCCTCCAATGGTGGATAGACATCACGCCTCATATCAGTTATCCTCTCCCCTCCCCCTCCCTTATGTCCCATCAATCTAATATATACTGTACAATGAGCTACACTTAGAAAAAGCCAAACTTTTTAACAATGCCAGAGTAGGTGGTCGTGTTCCTGTTAACGTAAAACTTTTTTGCAAGTACACTACTGCAAATCGGCGCGAAAAAATGATTAATTTTTTATTAATGTTGCGTGGGCCGGATTAAATTCCCTGGAAGGGAAGAGTTGGCCTGCGGGCCGTGGGTTGAATACGGTCCGGGGTTAGTGTTAATAATTTCTTGATCCTTTAGGTGATTTATTCAAAAATAGGAATTTTCAAGGTTTATCCAGATTTTGTTGGCAGTGACTTATTAAACGTTACACCACGGATAATAATAATAATAATAATAATAATAATAATAATAATAATAATAATAATAATAATAATAATGATAATAATAATAATAATGTTGTATCTATATGGCGCATATTGTACATTGCCCTTATGCCCTTTACAAAGAAATAATATAGGCCAAACTGAGAAAATGCAAATAACAATAAAATGAAAATAATAATCATAATAACAATAATAAAAATGAGACTAAACTACTCTTATTCCTTAAACTAATTAATTTGTTCAGCTATTGGTTTTTATTGCTGCTGGGTGACCATAAACACCTTCCTCTCAGCAGCCACTAAGACACATCTAAGAGGATTGTCAGTTTAGTCGCCGAAGTTTCGACCGCATGGAGTTTAATGTCGTACCCAGGACATCCCTAACTACCTTAAGCTAGGCTTAACTACTCTTAAATACATTACTCTTAAATACAATTGGCAAACTATCCCCGCCGGACACCATCCCAGTATTTAGCAGTTTCGGGGCCATTTTATCACCCATGGCATAAGTTAGATAAACAAATAGCTTTTAAGAAGATATTTAAATGTAATAATGGAAGTTGCATGTTTGATGTGTAAGGAAAACACATCGAAAGTCTGAAAATGACTTATTTCCACTGGAGTCCTCCTGATGGTGATTGGCCTGTACACTGGGAGACGATTCTCTACTCTTTTCCGAAGTGACATGGGTCATAATACACACGGGACAAACCTGAGATAGCTATGTTGAAGGGACAAACGGATTAAACTTCTCTCTGAAAAACGGTGTGCATACCGTAACTTACACTTCAGCCCTCTGAAACACAAAACATCGATAGGAATAGAAGAGACGACCAAGAGCTCTAGTGGCAACCGCCAGTTGAGCCGACTGAGCTAAGCTGCAGTAATATAATAATAGGCCTAGATGTAATTTAATAAAGTATTATGACATAACTACCTGTACAACAAGGCCCAAGTAATGAAAAGTCTTGATATCATATCTAATGCTACCTGAGAATATAAACAGTTCAAATCAATTACAGCACAACAAATAAATTGGAAGATAATTGCTTTTCTACTGTCCAACTACTATCATCATAATAAACCTAATCAAATAGTATATAATACAATAGTAGATTATAAAAATATCAACCTTGTGTATACTCAGCGTAGTATATCTTTACAAAAATAGTAGTGTGAAATTTTTTTATTTTATTTATAAAAAATACTCTCCCACCAAAATCATGAAAATCTCCAGGTTCTAGTATTTTGAGGACTGATTTTGACGTTTATTTTTAACACATTCAGTAGCTTTGAGAGATGGGGGTGGGGTGTAAAAAAAAGCTGTGGGTAAAATAAGAACCGAAGCCCGGCAAAGCATGAAAAATGAAAGTACATAATATAACTAAAATATTGTAATATTATGCATTTATGAAACCAAATACAACATGCATGCAAGAATCGTCTATCTTATCGTATAACTGCAGAAAAGGGGCATAAATTCCCTGAAATTTCACACAGGACACCCGTTACCATGTTCACAGATTCAGATTTAGATATATTTATTCAATCATATAAGAAAATACATGAAATCTGTTAAACACATAGGCCTAGGCCTAACATTCATATATTGAAGTACTTAAAATCCATTAAAAACATTTTATAAAAAAGATTAGTGTAAAAGAAATTACGATATTATTGCATCCTAAATCAAAATTATATATTTATAAATTATGATAAATATTATAAATATGTGTGAAACATATTAAACAATTTCCTTTAAGTAAAACCAGTATGCTTACGTATACATGTGACATATTTAGTGTCAAATATAATGAGTAAACCCTTAACCTTAATTGATTAGTTTCTACAAAATTTACTGAATTAAATTGATAATGTTGATCTCCTGTTCATTTTCTCAAGCACCTTTTTTATTGGCTGTCATAAGAAATACTGTAATTAAAAATAAGATCTATCAGTTACTGTGGTGGGATATCCTCTGTCATTGAAAAATTCCATCATTTCTTCGGCTTTTGTAGTGAAATCAGTGTCGTCATTACATAATCTCCTCAGTCGTACTAGTTGCGAATATGGAATAGCGTTCTTACATGAAGGTGGGTGGGATGATTTAAAGTTCAAAAACGTATGGGCGTCTGTAGGTTTGTAATAAACACTGGTAGTGAGATGTGAATCAGTAATGCACAACATAATGTCCAAGAATGGCAGGCTGGTTGAAGAAATCTCATGGGTGAATTTAATGGCTGGATGGTAGTTGTTGACAAATGAAATGAAATCGTTTCATTTCATTTGTCAGTTGCATTGTTTTAAGTTTTGTAATGCTGTACAGTATTTCTTTTTCAATTTTTTAAATTGTACCACTGATAAAAAGAAGAGTAGTGGCCGAATACATCATTCACTTACTTAAGTGATGCCAATTATTTAATGTAATCTGTGTTGTTTCTGTTTTGTTGCGGTTATATACTATACCTAACTATAGAATCATTGAACAAAGCTACATAGGCCTATTGTCTTTTAAACGTTTTAGTAACCCCTCTACACCGACGATTCGACAGTGTAGACACCTGTGTTGTTGAGATTATTTTCTATAGGCCTATAATTACCTAACTATAAAATTATTGAACAACAAAGCTGCATAGGCCTATTGTCTTTTAAACGTCTTACTTACCCCTCTGAAGATACAGAGTATTATGACACCGACGATTCGACAGTGTAGGCACTGAAACGCGCCGGAGCACGTTTTAGTATTTCGTGGTCTAGATATGGGACACGCATTTGCAACACTTTCTTCCGGGGTAAAAAATTATGAAATATTTTTATGTATTCATTACAAAAATAAAATAACTAAAGTTTACACAATCGACCTTATGTTCAACTTAACTTCACAGATTAATTATCTAGCATAAACAATCAGTAAAAAGTATGAAAAAGCTAATTTACGTTGAAAACACTGAGCATGAGATTGGTGTTCATATTACACAATAAAAAGCAGTATAAGAAGAAAAGTGTATTGACATTTACTGGCAGTTCGTTGGTGGAGATATTCGGAGCCTTGGATTAGAGTTCCTGTATTGTATTGGGAAACCTTGTCTCGACGAACAACAGTTTTCGCCTACATGTTCTGTAAAGCTATTCATTGGTTTGACCTTGAATTTGCTTGTAGTGTATGTGTAAACACACAGCTTCTTTTTTTATATTTTGTCTCAGTAGAAATAAGGAGCAGGAGGGCATGTCTATACGACTTTTGTCACGACTATTTCTTTTTTCCCCTTTTTTTGAACCATTATTTACTGACTTGTTTATTGAACATATTTACAGTACAGGGTACTGTAACCACCTGTCTTGTTTTGTGAAAAAAGCTTAATCTCAAGCACAGAATACATGTAGTATAATAATATCTATAATACCATTTTTAATAGCCCTAATATTACTATCCTCCATAATTTAAGTTATGATCAATCCTTATAATCGTTGAAGTTGGGTAACTCGGGCAGCGCCGTATGAGTATTTTTGGGTTTTTTTAAATTACACTTGTAAGTAGGCCTTGGAACAGTTTAATATAAGTTGATAGGTCTACCTGGAAATTGAATAAAATAAATACAAATAAAGTATAAAGAATAGCGCTGCTTAGATATTGTTTTGGAGGCGTCAGTGTGGAAATGTTTCCTCACGATTCTTTATTATACAGTTCTTCCTAGTATAGCAAAAGCACTATATCAATTAAATTTCAAACATTTCATAAACTATAGATCATAGAATGAAATATACCGTACTTTTTATCTTCAAGTGCAAAATTGATGAGTAGGCCTATAGGCAATTGAAATGAAACTTAACATAAAAAACAACAGAAGAGCCAATAGGCGTGAAAACATACCATATCCCTCTTTCACCAGTAAACTATTTCAAGTACCGTACTCGCGCGAATAAGCGCCCCTCTCGAATAACCGCCCCTCCTAACTTGAAAATTTCCTTAAGCGCCCCGTTTGAATAAGCGCCCCTCAATAATTTCATAAGATTTTCTTTTTAGCAAGTCAATAATCCAGTCAATCCTGGGACTGTGGTTGTTGGCATGATTTGAGCTACTGAGTGGAAACACATTCTTCTTAAGTCAATATCAAAATGAGGAGATTTCTCTTGGACTGCTGAGAGCTCCGATTCCTGGACAAACAGTATATTTCCAACTTGACTCTTTCTTACATATTTGTCTATGCCTAATCCTACATCTTTTTTTCTTTTTCCGATCTTTAGCACATTCTCATCTGAGTTTTCAAGAAAAAAATACAATGATCCTGCCATTCTGATAATCTCAATCGGCCGATGGCCAACAAGCTAACTACTACCCACCACCACTAACTAATTGCTATTTGCTTATTAACGCATTCTTGTTATGAGCCATGTTCTGTGGACGATTATTTTTTCCGCCAAACCATCATTCGTAATGTCCTTAGATAATCTTTTTCATTCAAAGTCTCTTGAATTTAATAATTTCCCATAAGAACCCCTCGATTTTCATCTATTTTCATAAGCGCCCCTTCAATTTCCACCCAGTTTTCATAAGCGCCCCGTTCGAATAAGGGCCCCGTTTGAATAAGTGCCCCTCAGAAAGTGAAAAAAATATTTTAAGCGCCCGAGCGCTTATTCGCGCGAGTACGGTGCTCATTCTATCCACGCACCGCAGCAGAGTGGAATCATCTGCCAGAACATATTGTTAATTCTACCTTAACTGCAGCGTTCAAGACGCTCATTTGTAATTGTACTAAACAATAGTTACACGTAAATACACCAAAGTATCACAATGCATGTTTTGTTGCTCTCTGAGGGCCTCTCTCTTGGTGGTTGCTTACTGGGCACCTGGATGGCTGAGGCAGGGTAAATGTTACTCTAGTTCCTTTATCTGGTCTCCTAGGGAGTGGTCCAGGCATTGTGATAGCGGTGGCCACGGATGGTAGACCCTCAGAGAGCTGGATGATGGGGACGTTTTTGTTTTTATTTTTATTGCTTAAAGTC